CCCTCCCCACTTTCGGAGAGTCCCGCGCAGCCATTTTGGGCTATCGTTAGAATTATAATTGGTCTGCGGCATGTGTTATCCTAAGTAATATCCCAATTTGCTGACTGTCTGTCTGTATGTATGTTGAGTTGTCTGTTTTGTTTGTCGGCAGTTTGTTTGGTCTCAGTGCGTCCAAATTGATTTTATTGACTTGTAAATAATGTTTTCGTTCCACACAATACCTCTTGACCAGGGTCAGTTGCTTCCGTTCAAATTCATATCCCTATCGATGATCATGTCCATATCCGTGTCTAGTTTCATTTCCATGTCCGCTGGCATCTTATTTCACCTCTATTGTAATTTATTACCACATCACCTGACAATTACCATACTTTTATAATGATTATAATAGTATCTTTTATATCATTTTATCTCGCCAAATTAGCTGTTCTCTCGCGTCGTTTGTTAAATTATGACTTATTAAATACTTCCAATATGGCTAGAAGACTGCCCTATGGCCTCTACGACTGTTTGGCGGCCTGTTGCTTTATTGATTACATTTTGTAATTAGTTGCAAATTTTTTTTATTGCCCATCGCATGTGGCAAGCTCAGTCGTTTCTTGGCTTCAGTTTAATTTTAACTGATACTTTGTGCGCTGTAGTCTAGTCCACGTCAGCAAATATTTAAAATCCAATAAATACAAAAAATACATCCATGTATTACTTAAGGTTACCTGAAGTAAAAAAACTGAATGGAAAAATAATAAATTAATTCTTAAGTTATAAGTTATTAGCTGATTTATTTATACTGAACGAATCATTAAATTATATAGTTTTTATAAGAGTTCAAATATAAATGATTTATTTAAGATAAATGAATTCAGTTATAAACAGTTCCATTCAGTTTTGTGAATATTTTTTTTACATAAATCATAGGCATATTTAATTACTTTGTTTTCATAAGAATTACTCTTTTTTTTTGGCCAAAAGAGGTCTGAGGTTTTTTTTTGGTTTGAGAATCGAATTTCAATGAATATATTCAAAACATATTATGTTTCGTGTGATTGTTATACAAATTTTGGGTTCTTAAGCAAAGTGATTTGAAACTTTAACTATATTTTTCATATATGATATATACAAATCAGCATAAATATGTTTGTTTGTATATACATATATGCGCCTAGGGCCCCTTTGATCGTTCGGCGCCCTGGCGGCATTAACAGCTGAGCTCGCTATTAATTACATTTTGTAATTAGTTGCATATTTTTATAGCTGGCCGCATGTGGCAAGCTCCAACTAGTTGTGGCAGTCAGCGGCAAGCTTAGCTTGTCCTGACTAGCCAAAGATGACTGCGAACCGCATTAGCATTGATAACGAGCTAATGAATGTAAATTGTATTCTCGAACGTGTCTGTCTGTATGTCAGCCAGTCTATCATCCAGTCAGCGAACCTGGGTGTTCATCACGTATGAGTTTGAGTTGCTTGTTGCTTGCTGCTTGCTGCATTCAAAAGGTTTTCCAGCTCGTAAATTGAATTTCGCACTAAGCTCGGCTTCCGTTTATTTTTTTGCCGCAGTTCGTCTTGCCAAATACAGTTAAAATCCGATAAAAAACCAACAACTTGTGAATAGTAAATTACCATATTAACAAGCCATTCATATCTAAGACTCTACGTTTTTTATGATGTTCTTCAAGAAAAAACTAGCAACTATTGAAACTGCTATTCATTAGTTTTATTTATAGTCGCCATTTTAGCATATTGAGAGACTTACTCTATAGATAAAAGCTTTACTTTATAGAGATCAAAAAGTTAGTAAATTCTAATTTTCTCATTATCTACCATTATCTAGTAAAGATGCCGTCAATATAATTGCAATTTTAAATCAATAAATTGATTAGTTGACTAGCTCTCGTTTACATCAGCTAAATATTGTGGTAAAACTTAGGCGATCTCCACTGCACTTGCTAAATAAGGAGGAGTAGCTGGGGGTTGTATAGGGAAAGGAAGGCAAACCCAAAGCAATTATGTGTATGCACAAGAGCTACTTGCCAACAGCATATTGCGTAATTAAAGAGATGGGTCCAGGGCTCATCAAAACTCTTCCTGTTTTGTAGGGCGACGTTGACAAATGAGTTTATCAGCAGCTCCTTTTGGTCAAGCGGCTGTAGATGCTCAGACAGAGATGGAGAGCTAGAGAGGCAGAGAGTGCTACAGAGAGAAAAAGAGAGAGCGAGAGCGAGAGAGAGAGAGAGAGAAAGAGAGCGAGAGAGGGAGTGAGTAGGGTGCACTGAATTAATTTTTAAAGTGAAAAGCGATTTATTTCGCCATTTGTGCCGTGTGGCCGTTTAATAAACAATTTTATGGCGCGCATAAATTTCAGACATCATATAATAAACCCATTTGTCTTTAGAGGGGCAAAGTCTTAAGCCTAAAGAGCTCATATACACATGCCACAAGACCTGAGGTTATTAAATTATGCGGCTCAAGCGTAAAAATAAACCGTAGCAAATGTAGGACGAGTGAGAGGGAGTGAGCGAGAGAGTTAGAAGGAGACACACAGAGAGAGAGAGAGAGGTAGCGAGTCTGTTTAACGAGCCCTAATGGAACCCCAAGAGTTCAAAACTTATAGCTCGAGATCGTGCTCTCGTCGTTGACTTTCTCCCAAAAATTAGACGCGAGTCGGCTTCAATTAATCAGAGATATTTCGAATAAATCAAGTGCCATAAAAGTGACACAGCGTGAGACACTCAAAGATTGGGGAGCGGGAGTTGCAGATGGTGATGGCACCGCAGCAGGGCTGCTGGCCACATACAAAAGATGAATATTTAATTAGGAACAAATTAAGAATGCAAATAATGTGGAACTACCGTGGAGACGAGGGCGTTGCTCGCATGAACTACGACTCTCGACCACAAAAACTGAGTCGATTATTAATCGATAGACTTTATAATTAGTGGGCATATAACAAAGCACGGGGCAATCATGTGCCGACGGGACGTCTCAGCTAATTGGTGGGGAAACCAAATTCGAAGTTTATTCTCTTGAGGAACGCGTGCTACCCAGTTGTGAGTTGAACTTCTCTTATCAGATTTGCCACAGCTACAAGATTACACTACACTATACATTTTGGAACTGTGTATTTCGATTCTTATCTGGTTGGGTTGCATTTACTTTTATATGTTGCCGCTTGAAATTGGTTTTCAAATTGGGCAACTGAAATTGTGTATCGATGTCAATCGGAACTGATCGTTTATTTATATATTTCTTGCGTAAAACCAAAAAAACAATTGAATTTAATTGAATACGGTATACAGGTTTGGTATTCAGCATTTTAGATAATTAGCCGAAAAAATTCCAATAATTGTTTGATAAAATATAATAATAGTTTTCGTATCCAAGTCAAACAATAAAAAATTGCTTCAAATATTATATAATTTTCTAATAATCCAATTTTGACTTATTATTGTATGAGGATACAGTATTTAATACTTTGACTCACAATTATATTCGCCAACATTCTCCATTTATTTTAGGTAGGACACTTTGAAGAGTGCATGACATATTTGCGGCTTCTAATTGGCCTGTTTAGCTATAATTTCATTACAAGCGACAACTGCATTGCCTTTTTGGAGCTGTGATTGCTTCCTGGGAAGCGAAAACCAACAACTTAATTAAGGGATAGAAAAAATCAAACAGGCGATAGGCGGGGGAACGGCCGGAGCAGAGATTGGGGGTCAGCTTGTGTGATTGGCATCGAAGCGAGGCATCAAGCAATTTGTATGCGGCCATCAGACAACAACAAGTCATTTCACACTTTGATCACGCTGCACGCTGATCAACTGTTGCTGCTGCTGTTCTTGTTGCTGTTGCTGTTGCAGCTGCATGCCCAGGACCTATAGACACATGGCCATAAAAGGATGCAGCGAACAACGAATGGAATGTGTCTGCCTCATGCCTCATGCCTCATATCTCATGCCTCATTCCCCATGCCCCATGCATATATTAAGCAACCAGTCGAGCATTCGACGCAGTCGCCCGCGCAACCATTCGAGTCTAAAGTTGGGAGTTATAGTCACAGTCAGAGCAGAGTCACAGAGTCGCAGTCGAAGTAGGAGTCGGAGTCGGAGTCGGAGTTGGCAACAAGGCACCTCCGCCAGTAATTAACTTGTTTCAATAATTACGCATGCGCATTTGCACATGTTCCAATGCCCAGGTTCTTTTGGCCAGTTCTTCTGCGGCTGCAATGCCCCATTCGGTTTTGTCGATTGGCAACTGTCTTAACAAGATTTTTGCATTGCGTGCGCATTCAAAATCGACAACAGACTCCGTTTTATTCAAATGCTCTAACGTTTGGGTTATCTGCGCTTAATAATAGCATTTGATTCGGATCTAAAATGGTTATACTTTAATAAATTACTTTGCTTAAGGCATTTGAGTCAGTATTTGTCCATAAGTTGAAGTATTTAATTGTTTCATCAGAATGATATTTACATTATTAAATCAAATAGCAAACTACTCTGTTCAAATTGTGCAGTTCACACTGTTTTCGAAAAGAAGTTCTTATTTGGATATTCAATTTTATATCGTCATTTTAGCGCATTTCGATTTAGGATTAAAAGTATTGCTTATCATGTTCTTGAAAAAACTTTGTATATTCAGCTGAATCGAGTAAATCTTTAACTACTCATCTTTAATCGATTGGATTAATTAACTACTGAGCAAATCATAGCCAATTGTTGTGATCATTCTATATAACAGAGCATTCACAGTGCGTTGTTATCAATTCCATATGGAATTCTTATGTTTTTTGGGTGGAAATTTATGCAGCAGCCGCCGCTTATTAAGCAGTCCATGTACCAACTCGACTGTCTTCCCCCCGCTTACCCTGCCCCTTCCCCTTGTGCATGTTGCCCATTTTGGCCCGTTGTCCGTTGAGGTGGCAGCGGCACTTAATTATTGATAGCATTACAAACGCCAGTTCACTGGGTCACAACATGTACACGTCGTCCCTTTGAGATCTCCATTTGCGCACTGTTTTTTTTTATTCGGCGATCACAAAGCAACAGAAATTTGGCACAAAAAACCAAGTTAAATGACTAAAAACGATATTCACAACAAATATAGTAGGAACAGAGAGAAAGATGGGAGAGAGAGAGATAGAGAGAGGATGGGTTAGCTAGAAGTGTCACATTTGACTGCTGTCAATGTCATGGACTTCCACATTCTCCATGCCGGGAATACTCTTCACTGCGTCGTTCATCTCAGCAGCTTTACTAATGCCATCCATTGCACCCATTTCGTCCATTCCCATGCCACCCAGTGCGGCTAGCGCATCCATGCCACCCATGCCGCCTAGATCTAAGCCACCCAATGCCTCCTCCAAGCCAGCGCCGCCACCGCCATCTCCCAAAGCATTCAATGCACTTTGAGTGAGCACCTCGGTGATGACCACTTCGGTGGTGCTCAACATGGAGGCAACACCGGCCGCATCCTGTATGGCCGTGCGCACCACCTTCGTCGGATCGATGATGCCCTTGTCAATCAGATCGCCGTATTCATCCCTCATGGCATCGTAGCCAAAGTCACCGCTGCCATTCATTACTTTGGCAACTACCATGGCCGCATTGACGCCGGCATTGTTGGCGATCGTCATGCAGGGCATGCGCAGAGCCTTGCACACAATGGCGATGCCTTGCGCGAGATCCTCGTTGTCCGGCTCCAGCTGCTGCAGACGAGGGATGCAGCGCAACAGGGCTGTACCCCCACCGGGCACAATGCCCTCCTCAATGGCCGCCCTTGTCGCATTGAGGGCATCATTGACGCGATCCTTTTTCTCGCCCACCTCCACCTCGCTGGTGCCGCCAATGTGAATGACGGCCACTCCATTGGTTAGCGTGGAGATGCGGGCACGCAGACGAACCTTCTGTTCGGGCTTCGTTGCGGGATCATCCAGTTCGTCCTGCAGCTCCTGAATGCGTCGCTTGAGCGTTTCGGGTGTGCCCTTACCCTCCATTAGCATGGTCGAGTCCTTGGTAACAATCAGTTCACCCACCTCGCCAAAGTCCTTCAGTTTCGCATCCTCAATCTTGGCATAATCATTGTCATTCCCAAAGATGGTGGCACCCGTCGCCGCAGCAATATCGCCCAACAGCTGCTTGCGATACTCGCCATAGGCGGGTGCTTTGACGGCACAAACTTGTAGTCCCGTCTTGAGGCGATTGAGGACGAGGGCGTTGAGTGCCTCACCATCCAGATCCTCAGCAATGATGAGCAGCGGACGGCGTTGGCGCAACGTTTGCTCCAGTCCCCGGACGATCTGCTTGAGAGATTTGATTTTCTTCAGGGTGATCAGAACATAGGCATTTGTGTACTCCACCTTGGCACCCTTCGGTGTATTCACAAAGAACGGCGAAATGTAGCCCTTGTCGAATTGCATACCCTGCAGCACCTCCAGTTCATCCTTCAGGCGTTTGCCCTCCTTGACGGTGATGGTGCCGGTGGTGCCAACGTGGTCAGTGGCCTGGGCAATCAGTTTGCCAATCTCGGAATCACCGTTTGCCGATATTGTGGCCACCTGTTCGATCTCGTCGCGCGTCTCCACCGCACGGGACATCTGTTGCAGCTCCTGCCTCACATGATCGACGGCCAGCATGACCCCCCGCCGAATCTCGATGGGATTCGCGCCGCGTGTAATGTGTTGGGAGCCCTCCTTGGCAATGCTACGGGCCAGCACTGTGGCCGTTGTGGTGCCATCTCCGGCCGTTTGATTTGTACTGTCCGCCACATCCTGAACGAGACGTGCACCGATCTGCATATGCTGATCCTTCAGTGAAATGGCGCGTGCCACAGACACGCCATCTTTGGTGATTTTTGGCGATGTCCAGGGTCGTTCGAGGATCACACAGCGACCCTTGGGACCAAGCGTGACGGCCACCGCATCCGCGAGCACATCCACGCCATGCAGCATTCGGGCACGCGCCTCGGCGCCAAACGTGACAGCCTTGGAGTAGGCACGAGCAAAGGCACGACTGGAACGTATCGACTCACGGACATACGAACGGAACATGTTCACATAAAAATAATATTCAAAGTATTTTCCAATATTTTTCAAACTTTAGCAAATATTTATTTGTGTATCTCTAGCAACGACTCTCTCTCCTCAAAAACGATAAATGACTATAAATAATGTCCGAGCTGAAATCGGAACGTAGACGGTTGGAGCTTAGCCTACTGGGTTGCAACTTGGGAAATTCGTGTGTATTTTTTTAACTTACGCATTTTTCCAATTAATTTCATTTCCGTTTCGTAGCTGCGGCACCGAGAACACATGTTCCAATCTTCAAAAGGTAGCGAAAACATTGAATCAATAATTAAGAAATGTCAAACATAAAACGAGAGTCCCGCAACCAATGCGATAAGGAGGGTTGGGGGTGGGGTATATGGGTGGAGATGGGGAGGTATTGGGTGGAGAGTGCGGGTGTTGTGTTCTTTCGATATCACTAACCTTTTTTGTTCTTTGTGGAGCTCGCGTGACAAATCATAATTGATTGTTCGCTTAATTGAATTGGAGGCTGATAAGTGCGGCCCCGAAAACCCCGAAAACTCTCCCCCCGTCATCTCACAGAAAGAAAAGAGAGTGAGAGAGATTGACTCATGCCACACTCGCACATAAGACATAGAGTCACATGACTCACATGATCGCATAACTCACAACAACAAATGGCTGAAACACAAGTTCGAACACGCTAATAAATTGTTAATGGTTTTATCACAGCTTTGGAGTTTACGATATCACCTAATACAGTACAACCAACGATTGTCGTAAATACAAACTACGACGAAATGAACCGACACAAACCACAAAAAAACCAAATGCCTTATAACGAGACATGTGCTACGGGGCCACAGATAAGCGGAGTTTGCCCCCGGAGACGTTTTTTCTTGTCTCTCTTACCTTTTGTCTTTTGTGATCTCTCTCTCTTTCTCTCGCTCTCTCTCTCTCTATGCTCATTAGTCACACAGAGTGTGGGGTATTCATGGGGGAGTTGGGCGTTCAGAGCGGCTTGTTTGGAAACAACTAACTTACAAGTACAGTGGTCACTTGATAATTTTAGTGATTCCACTTCGAGGTTATTAATAACTAATTGTATTAAGAATATAATTATACAAATTTTATTATTAATTTCAGTTAAATGTTGGTCATTTAAGTTAAGTTAAGGTTTTTATAAATCTAATCAGTTTTGTCGAAAATTGAACAGTCGAAATTTGAAACCGTGTCAAACGGATTTTTTGGCATATCAACTTTAAGCCAAATTCGAGTCATTGCAGACTTATGCAATTATTTAATTTAGTATCTCTTGGAACGACACTCTCTCCATGAATATAGCCTAACTTTAAGTGCAATAATTCTCGGCGCAACCACTGCGTCCAGTTGTACTCCTGCTCCTACATAAGGAACGCCTGTCAACGACAAAATCAACTCATCAACGTTGACAGCGAATGGCCTTTATGGCTGGCTACCTAAATAGCCAACGGCGAGTGCAATTGACGCGTGATTGGCATCCAGGCCTGTCATCCATTCAAGCAACCAACCGTTCCAGATGTGCAGCATCCTCCCCAAAAATAGGCATTTCCAGCTGCTGCGCAACTCATCCCGTCATCCACAGACGAGTTGCCCGGTAAAAGTCGGAGTTTTATTAAGGTGTCAGCCACATTATATGGATCGTATGGCATCGCATGGCATGGTATGGCATTCTGCAGTATACGGTATGGTTTGGCGTGGTATCATATGGTATGACATGGTACAGTCATTTAGTATTGCATATCTCAAATTAATATTATTAAGAGTTTGACCAAAAACGGTCGGAAGACTCAACAACTGTGTCTCTTAATTGGCTACGCGCTGGTCAAACTGATTCGAAGCCGTCGGCTTCAATAGCGCTCTCTCTCTCTCTCTCTCTCTCTCTCTCTCGCTCTCCTTCTCTTTTTCTCTTATTGTCTTTTTCTCAGATTTACGTGCTCTGCCTTACAATGTGATATTATCTAATTTGCAAGGCATACGAAATTGGATTTATTTAATTTTGCAGCTGGAAAATCAACTCTTTGTGAATTTGAGTAGCAAATTTGTAACGGCGACACCTGCCTCAGTTGCGGTCTCTCTCTCTTTTCCTCTCACCTGCCACTCCAGCAAGTGCTCTGTCCCTCTCGTGCGCTTTCTCTCTCTATCTCTCTCTCTTCTTTTCTATTCGTCAAGCGCCGCCCTCTTTGCACAGTGCTGCCAACCAATCAGCGCGTCGCCGGCTCAGCAACTACAAAGTTAAAGAGAGTCGCATACATTATAAGAGTGTGTATGTGTGTGTGTGTGTGTTAGTGTTGGCACTGGTGTTGTGTCGTCGACAGGCAATTTACATGAAATCAAAATGAAACGTAAGTTTAATGAAGGCAGAAGTTTTGTGGCATAGGCGACTCTCAAATGTGCTGCACACAAAAAGATTTGAAAGAGAAACTTAATATAAGACATGCTGAAAAATGAGATAAGACTTTAAAAAAATAGAATAGAATACATACTTGTTGAAATTACAAACAAAACTTGAAAAGTTTCACATTTGAATATTTAAAACAAGAAGGATTTCATGCAACCTATTTCTTAACCTTAAATTTGTAACTCAGTCAAATTAATAAATATAAGAAACTTATTTTTTTATAAATGTTGTAAACATATTTTTAAAAGTGAGCTATAAACTATAACACATCAAATTGTATATAAATGTAGATTGATAATTAAAGATTTTCTTGGCCGTTTTCCGCAGTCTAATAAGCTCCGATTGTTTGTGGTACAGAGTGGTGTACGAACGGGTATTCCAGATCAGGACTGTGCAGGATATGATGGGGTAGGGCTGATGACTGCCTTCGAGCGCGCCACTCAAGTTTTGTTTACTTAAACTTTTACCATTTGGGGCAAGTGTAAAGTGGCTAAATCCCTTTTAGTGTGTCTGTGTGTGTTTGTGTTTGTGTGGGTGTAGACCAAAACGAAATGTAAGTGAAACGAAATGAACAGAAGTGAGGAGCTGTCTTTTGATTGTAGTAGAGGTCTCGGTCTCTGGTATTTTATGTTGCCATTGATGGTCGTCGCTGCCAGCCCGGCCAAAAAACATTTCTTGATTGTTTTTTAAATTGTTTTTGCACGCGATTCGTGTTTGGCGGCTTTATTGCTGTAATTGCCATGGCCAATTGTTGTTGCTGTTGCAGCTACATAATTTAATTTGAAGGTATATGCGACCCAAAGTGGGAAATTGAATAAGTTTCGTTTTTTTTTCTTTTTAGCTAGCCTGTATTTTGTTTTGTTGTTGTCACAGTTTTGTGTTTTCATAATTGTTTTTCATATTTAATATAAATTTGATTAGCGAGCGCGCGCATTGCAGCGTTGCAGCATTGCGAGGGCGTGAAGTGGGCTTGGCAATGCAACACTTCATTTTCAGCAGCTGTTGGCTGAACGTGTGTTGTAATTTATTCGCCAGCGGCTATTTGATTTACTGATTTACGGCTGCTTTTTGCCGTTAAACTGAAATCTATTGCTTTTTGAATAAATGCCAAAAGACACAAAGATTTGTCAAAATTTGATTAAATTCGCATTTGGAATGTTTTACTTACCACTTATAACCATGTTAGCAAAGTCCAACTCTTAAGCTTAATTTTATTTTTGGTAAATAAACTTATATTTTGATTAATCTCACTGCCAATTAACCATTGATATCTTATTGATTTTTAATACTGTACTGATATTTTTCTGTATTTTTGTGTAGATTATGCATCAAAATTATTTAAAATATCACCTAGAGATAATGCCAAGCTTGTTGGGCGCATCGCTTCGATAAATTGCTTTGCAGTTTTTGCAAATTGATGCTTTAAATCAGCGCCTCACCTCCATTCCCCAAAAAATTTATTGCGATTTCTGCGGTTGCGACCGAAAATCGTTTCTTCATTTTTCGCACACACACACACAAACACACCAAACGAAATGTCTCTCCGCGAAATGATCGAAAGCAAAATTGGCCCGGAAATCAGGGGGCTTCAAAAGGCCATTTGAGATGGGAGCACACGTAGCCTGGCCGCAGAAAATTGCGACTAATATGATTAAAATCATTCATTTTGCGCATTACTCAAAGTGGTTCATTCGCATTTTGGGGGTCAGACATTTGATTATAGTGAGCCGCATACATATTGATGGATATATCTCCGATGCTGTCATTGAACCTTGTGCGAAACGGAAATCTAAATATGATATGTTCACATATATCGTATTTGGCTATAAGTCAAAATCGCTGTACTTTCGAACCGCGTTGTGAAGCTCGTAATTAACCCATGACCTGTCAGGCGAACCTTCAGCCTGATGTTTATTTCGATTAATCACCTATTGGCTTCTTGTTGCGGCTACTAATTAATTAATTTGATTAGCATTTATTTCGGAAATTTTGCGAATTATGAATTAATTTATGGCCCGAATCGGTTTTCTGTTTTCTAGACGTTTTTTTTGCGCTCGCGCACTTTTTCGCAATAAAGTTGTGTGCAAAACAAGTTCGTTGCCTCAGTCTTTCGTTTTAGCTTCAACATATTTTCACTGTGTGGCTTGGCCATAATTATAAGCTATGTCCCCCCACAAATTTGGCTAATCTGCATAATTTGAATGCGTACCTTAAATGCGCTGACACGCCCCCTTCCCCCGTCCACCCCACCTCCCCCCAAAACAACACAACACTGACCCCCCTCAGTGGTTTATTACGTTTTCGAATTGATTCCTCGATTTGGCTGCGTGGGCCGCACAAGTATAGCTTGTTTATTTGGAGACCGTTCAATAACGCATATTGGATGTCGAACAACGGACATCGGACATCGGACATCGGACCTCATGAATATGCATTATTAATATATTAATTAATTGGCTGTTCAGCAGATCGTTAGCTTCTTAAATATGGTGTATGAGATGCTCGTATGGTGTAGTTGCCATAAAATTCAATTAACATCATAACACTGTGCAACACATTTCCATTTCAGTCTCCAGTTAAATTTTATAAAGTTATTTCATGGATTTGTTAAGTCAGAAGGTTTTATTGTAATATTTAGTTATATTACATTTGATTTCATTAGAGCTTATAACAATATCAAAGTCTAATCAAAATTTGTAATATTATAAA